TGTTCGCAGAGAGCCATATTGAGTCCAGCAACACCTCCTCTGCCTTCCTGGGACAGCTGGGGACGCCTGCGCCCTGCACCTGGTCTGAGCAGGGCTCCAAGCTGCCCCCCATCGCCAGTCGGGGTATCCGCTCCTGGGGACGCCCAGGGTGCCAGGGGAGAGCACACATCTTCTTCAGGGGGCCCCGCACTTCCATCTTCTGGGATTTGGGGAAGGGGTCTGGATTGGATTGTCCTAAGATCCACACATGTAAATGGAAGTTTCTAGACGAGTAAATCTTAGATTGTATGACTGTAACTTCTTTACTCTTTGTCCAAAGAGCTGTGGTCCACAGGGGGCTCCCAGGACCCCTACCCCATGCCCGGCCCCGGACCTGAGCGCCGTCTGGGGGAGACCCTTGGGGCCGGGCTGAGGAGGGCTGGCTGGGGTGGGAGGGAAGGTTCTGGAGCAGCACAGCTGGGAGGCTGACGTGAGCAGTGACTGTCTCAGGGCTTCCGGCTCTGCCAGAGCCTTATTTGGAGGCAGTTCCGAGTGGGGCAGTGACTGGCACATTCCTGAGCTATTCAGAGACACCCTTCCCCTCCTGGTTATTTTTAGGCCCTAAAAAATACATGGGGAGCCCAGCCCGCTGCTCCCCACACCTCAAGAAGCCGCAGGGCCACCGATTGCTGGCCTTGGAAGGGATCTCAGTCTCCCAGTCCGGCTGCCACAGTGCCAGAGGGGAAACTGAGGCCCAGAGGGGCGGGGCTTGCCCGAGGTCAAGGCCTTCTGCCCCCAGCCGGCCCACCTTTGGCCTCCCATCCACCGTGGGCCACTCCGAGCAGACCTGGCCAGTGCCGTGGGACACCCCGGTGGGGGGAACCCCCACTCTGCAGGAGGTCTGAGAACTCCCTTGGTCACCAGCATTAGGTGGCAGAGCAGTAACGCAGGGGGAGGCCAGTGCGGCCCTCCTATCTCTGACCAGTGTGCGAGCCCTTCCTTGCAGGGCCTTGGCGCCCTTCCCAGGGCCTGGGAGTGAAGACTCCTCGGGGTAAGGAGCCAAGACACCTACAGGGATGGGGCGGGGATGGTAGCCAGGGACCCCAGGATTTTTTTTTTTAAGATCTTATTTATTTGAGAGAGAGAGACAAAGAGAGAGAGAGAGAGACAGAGAGAGAGCGAGCAGTGGGAGGGGCAGAGGGAGAGGGAGAACAGCTCTGTGCTCCATCCCAGGACCCCGGTATCATGACCTGAGCTGAAGGCAGACGCTTCACCAACTGAGCCACCCAGGTGGCCCTAGAAAGGGCTGCCTGGTAACCCCCTAGGGCAGTGGGATGGCCGCCATGTGGGTGGCAGTTTCCAGGCGGCTTAGGTGGGATACCAGCTGCCTTGTCAACTCAGGGGCAGTGCGGCCCCACGTTCCCCAGACATAGCTCCAGGTTCAGGAGGACGTCCCAGCGGGCTGGGGGTGGGTGGAGCAGGGCCAGGAAGGCACTCCCGGCTAGTGGAAGGTTCTGGAACAAGTCCTGGACCGTGAAGTTCCCTGAGGATTCGATTCTCTGTGGAGGCAAGCCCATGTGGGACGCAGGGCCTGGGGAGGTGATGGGAGCCTGGACGGGTCCTTCACCTTGAACATGGCCGAGAGGAGCCTGAGGATGCTGCGGTGTGGCCCCGCCGTGTGGTTGTGGAGCAGCCCAGACGGATGGAGGGAGGCACCGAGGGCGTAAGAACTAGAACAGTCTGCTGCTGGGGACAGGAGCCTCTCACTGCGGCTGGCGGCTGGCTGGAGGTTAGATAGGAAGGGGGACTTCCGATGGTCCGGACTCGCTGCTGGCTGGGTCCAGGGGAGCTGGGAGGGGTGGATGTGAAGGCTTTTCCAGGAAGAGTCTCCACCTGCCCAGAGGAAGGGCCACTCTGTGCAGGGGCCGCTTGCCTGGGTGACAGGGAGTGTGGCCGCGTCCCGCGCCCTGCCCCCCAGGGGACTCAGGCCCTCGTCATTGTCCTTATGTACCTGTCCTCCTACCTTCCGTCCGTCAGGCCCCCTCCAGGGTCTCCTCCTGTCCGTGGGAGCGGGGGACAGGGTGGCCTGGGGACATTGCCCTTGCCATCCCGGAAGCACCGCCACCAGCACGAGAATCCCTCCCCACCCCAACAGAAGTGTCCCCACCAGCTTTGGCTGCCCACGTTCCTGCCCGCCACGGTGACCACCGCCATCGCCAGCCCCATCCTCGGGGCATGGTGGTCCTGCTGACGGCAGGGGAAGGGTGGCCTGGGAGGCAGTCTCGAAGCGGCGAGGAGGACGGCCTGCCTACAAAGGTGCCGTGACCATGAGGAAAACAACGTCCAGGGAAAGGAGCGGCTTGTGGCGGAGGGGACAGCAGAGGGAGGCCCGCGGCTGCCCACGGGTGACCTCCCCACCGAGGGGAGTGTCCAGGGATTAGGGCCGGCGAGCTGGGCTCACTACCTGCCCCGCCGCCCCCGCCCCGCAGGGAAGCCTCACTCCAACACCCGGGGCTCCGTTTCCTCATCTGGAGAGGGTGTCGGGACCCTGCCTTGTCCAGCCCCAAGAGCACAGCCGTGGGAACAGCTGGATGAACTGAGGGCCACCCAGAGACCAGCTCTGCGCACCTGGGGGTCACCACGGAAGGCACTGGAGGCCGACCCATGCAGGGCCCAGCGGTCTTGACGAATCCGGTGGGAACGGCCCCAGCAGGCTTCCTGCGCCGTGGGCAGGAGAGAGGACAGCGATTTCCGGGCTCCGTCGCCATGCCAGGTGGCCGTGGAGCACTGAACAGCCGGGAATGTGGGGCCCGGGCAGAACAGAGGATGTGGCCTCTCCTGGAAGGACAGGGCCCTCCTGGTGGGAGCTAGAATGGAGGGGAGCCTGAGACGCTGTTCACACCCTCCGAGCCACTCCCATTGCAGGCGGGGAGCACGTGGCCTGCGCCCACCCTGATTGGTTCGTTTCTTCCAGGTTTTCTGTGGCGTGCGTAAGCAGGGCAGGGGAGGTCAGGTCACTCCACAAGGGCAGCGGGGCGCCCCACGCTCGCTGGTCCCCTTACCTGGACCCCGTCCCGGGGGGGGGTCCTCCGGCTTCCTTCGGCATCTGCGGGGGCATGAGGGAGCCGGCACAGGCCCCCGCCCTCGTCCGCACCCCCAGGCCAGTGAGGCTTGGAGTCCGAGGCACCTCCGTGCATTCAGTACTGGTAAGATGCCGGCCAGCGCCCAGCCAGCGCCGCCCTCGGACGTGCGTGGTCGCATCTAGCGGTCAAATGAGCTTTAACAAGCCTCGGCTGGGCTTAGGTTTTGCTGCTAGATTGCACCAAACAAAGTTGGCGTTTTGAAGTGTTCAGGACCGTGGCTGAGAGCCGGGTCCGTGCCTGTGCCATCCCCTCTGGCTGTCCGCCCCCAGCAGCCACGCTGCTCACCAGGGGCCCCTCTCCGTCCTCGGTCACTGTGCTCGTGGCCCGAGGCGGTCCAGAGTGGTGGCCCAGGCGCCGTGGGAACCCACGCCAGGCAGTTCCCCCGCTTTTCAGTGGGCTTGGCATGGTGTTCGTCTTGAATGACGTGGTTGGGGGGCCGCAATCTCAGGGTGCTGGGGCTGGCCAACAGCCCACCTGTGCACCCCCTCTTTGGGCCAGTGGACTCTGCTGCCCGCGGGGGGACGTGCAGCCTGGGGGCGGAGCCTGGCTCACGGCCCCTCCCAGCGCCACAGCGCCTGGCCGGGCTCTCTGCGCGGGCTCAGGCTGTCCCCTGCTGGAAACACCGAGGAGAGGCAAGCATTTCTGCTCTCAGGGACAAGCTTCTCAAAGGTTCAGGCTCAGAAACCGGGCTGTGGGCGGCGGGCCAAGGTAGGAGGTGGCAGAGGGCAGGGCAGGATGGGGCAGGGGGTGCGGCTCTAGGCGTGTCCACATTTGTCCCCCACGCCTGCCCCAGGACCAAGGGGGAGGTGTGTGGGCCAGGGGTGAGGCAGAGGGCCAGGGTCCTGGAGGAGATCTTGGGCACACCAAGGCCAGCCGGAAGGAGCGGGGCCCCGGCTCCCTCCCTCCCTCCCTCCCTCCACATACTCTGCCCCGTCCCAGATTGCCCCCTCCCCCCACAGGCAACGGCAAGGGCACAGGGACATCACACGCCGACTACCCCTGGGGGTCTAAAAGTCTGGGGGCAGGGGAGCAAGGGAGCCCAGCATCCGAGGATCCCCATCAGTTTCCTCATAGCACGCTTGGGGGCCACATGACCGTGGGCCTGGGGGCCAAGGTCCACGCGTGGGCTCCTGACTCCCAGGTGGGGTGCAGGCGTGGAGCCCCGTACCCACCAGGCCTCCCCAGCCCTTTTGACCCCCATGGAAGGACCAAGGCCGCTCCGTGAAAGCCACGGGGCTGTGGCTTGGGCAGCACAGAGAGAGGCCACGCAGACGGGACGTGGGTTTTTAATTCTTTTTATTGAAGAAAAGAAAAGGAGAGAAAAAATAGATTCCCCACCCCTGCTCTTCCCGGAGTGGGCTTCTAGTCCTGCCCCTGGGGTCTGCACAGGTGAGCAAGGGCTGTGCTCTCCACCTGGGTCTGGGGAGGGGCCCCGGGCCCTGGAAAGGTGGGGGGCTGCTTCCCGAGGGGTAAGGGTGTCTAAAAAATGGTGCCAGGCCAGCTGGGCCAAGCAGGCTGGTCCTCTGCTGCGGCAGCTCGTCAGGCATCCCGGGGATGCTGGCCGCACCCGGCCCGGCCCCTGTGCGCGGCCCACCCGCCTGCCCGCCGGCGCGGGGCTGGGGGAGGGCAGAGTCCGAGGCACCTCCCGGCCTCTGGAGCCCTGTGCCACGTGGGCCGCCGGTGCCTCCTGTCCTGTCTGGCTCTGGTCCCAGCACTGCGGGCCTCCGCCTGGCCGCCGTCCGAGCGCCCTGAGGCCGGGACGCGGGCCTGGCCCACAGCCCGAGGGCGTGTCTGTGCCCGTCCCGTGGCAGGAGCGGGCAGGAGCGGGCAGAGCAGCATCCCTCCTCGTGGCCCGGTGCGTGGCTGCCGCCCACCTGCTCAGACCTCAGTCTGGAGGTCGATGATGTCCTGGCCCACCAGCGGGATCGTGGCGCCTGACTTCTCCCACTCCACGCTCCGCAGCTCCAGTGGGGACGGCGGCAGCGGCTCCAGTTCCTTCTTCACCCATGCAGGCGTCCCGTGGGCTTTCCGAAGGCTCTCCCAGGGCCGCTTGTTGGGTGTCTGCTGCTTTTCTGGCTGCTGGGCAGTGGGCAGGGTGGCGGGAGGGGCCGCGAGGGAGGCCACGGAGCAAAATTAGATGGGGAGCAGGGAAAGAATGCAGGCAACAGTCAGAACAGAGGGGAGGGGGCCCGAGACAGCGGAGAGGCGGGGGGGGAGTGGGGGGAGATCCCAGGTGACCCAGGAGCAGAGCACCTCCCACTGTGGGGTCAGCACTGAGTGGGGGGAAGGCCTGCGGTGAAGGGCAGCTGTCTGGCAGCACTCCCTTGGCCGTGGTTTTCCTTGGGAGGCAGCCTGACCATTCGCCAGTGCACCCCCACCCCTCCAGACAGCCTCCCCCCTGCCCGGGAAGGCCCGTTGGCTTGCCCTGCCCTCCAGGGTCTAGCATGGGCCAGGTCAGGCCAGTCTCCAGGAAAGGTCGCAGGAAAGAACGAATGAATGGGGAGGGTAGGAAGAAAAAGGGCAGGAGACAGCCTCACCTAAGGGCTCTCCCGGAGCGCCCGCCCCACGCCGCCACCCCACCCAGCGCCCCAGGGCCCTGCCCCCCTCCAGACCTTGCTGTCTGGGCCTAGCACCTCCTTGTCCTTCTCCGCGTGCTGCAGCTTCCGGTTCAGATCCTGAAACATGTCCTGGTGCCGCTTCCGCGTGTGCATGATTTTCTGCGGGGCAGGAGGGGTGGCGGAGCCTGAGCCCAGAGGGGGGCTGCCCTGCCCCTCCCTGCCTGCTGGAAGGGCTCAGAGCACCTCCAGCCTGGCCGTGTGGGGAAGGGGACACCAGGACCCACCTCGAAGTCCAGTTCTGCATACCGCGATTTCCGCCGCTGTGGGAAGAAGAGGTTTGTGCCCGTTTGCAAGCAGTTCCCTAAAACCTCCCGGACCACAGGTCCTGGCCCCTCCTTGCCTGAGTATGGGGGAGACCAGAGACCCCCTCACCCCAGGCCTCCTCTCGGGGTCTCAGCCAAGCCCTGGGGGACATGCCTCTGAGGGCCCCTTTCAGGCCACCCGCTGCCTTAAAAGACAGTGGGAGCCCAGCCGGAGGACTCTGTGGGAAGAGGGTGGACAGGAAGCGCGGCCCCAGAGGGCAGTGACAGTCCCAAGGGGGCTCTCTGCCCCATGACAACCTGGGGCTCTGGTATTCCAGGTCCCGAGTGGGGGTGAACCTGCAGAAGCTCTTCATCACTTTCTGTCCCAGCTGAGAGGAGCCAGACTGTCCCCGGGGCCATCTCCCGCCTCCAGGCCAGTGCCAGTGCTGGGCAAGGGTAGAGGGCTTAGCCTACCCAGAACATGCCCCCAGGGACAAGGAGCATTGGACGCGGGGCTTAGCCTGCCCAGAACATGCCCCCAGGGATAAGGAGCATTGGACGCAGGGCAGCGGCACAGCTGGGGGGCCACAGAGGCAGTGAGCCAGGAGGTGGGAGCATGGCCCCATGGGGGGGTGGGGTTCCTTGAGGGTGCTCGGCAATGCTTCCCTAATCTAGTCTCTGAGCCCCATGCTGCATAGGCTGGGTGGGCTTGGGGTCAAGTGTGGGCTTCAGGTTGGTCTAAGGAGGGACTTGCTGCCCTGACCACAACCACAGAAAGGGCTAGACTCAAGCTGGCTCAAGTCCAGCTTGGTGGGCCTCTCTGCAATGGGAGAGACCCCCATTTTGGTGCAGGCCAGAAGCTCCCTGTCACGAGGGTCCAGCAGCACCAGGGGCAGTGTGGCTAGAGAACAGAATGAGAATGGCGGCGGGGGGGGGGGGTCCTAGGGCATGCCCTGTCAGTAGCCAGCTCCCCAGCATGTCCCCCTTCTTGTCAAGGGACTCCTTCTAGCAGGGGGGAGCCGGGACGCTGGCCCCCAGCATTCCCAGGCCTGGACTTCCTAACGCTGGCTGCAGCCCAAACCAGCAGTGCCCATGGCACGCCCTGCCCCTGGGGCCCCTGGGCTGCCCTCACCTCCAAGGAGCTCACGGACAAGGTGGAGACGTTCTCGTTCCTGGTCCCGGCCCCCGAGCTGGGCCCCGGGTGGGTAGCGGGCTCCCCGGGCTCCCCCAGGCTGGGGGGCGCTGGCTCTAGGGTGGGTGGCGGGGGTGGGGGTGGTGGGGGCGGTGGGGGTTGGGCAGGGGGGGCCTCCGGGGGCCCACCGCCTGGGGGCTGGCGGGTGGGTGGGCTGCGGGCAGGGAGGCCGGCGTCAGGTGCCATGTTGAGGTGGATGAGGCGGGTCTGGGGCATCTGATCGATGTGGATGCTGTGCTTGGGCTCCTCCTGGGGCTTGGGCCGCAGCGTGGCTGTGGCCGTGGGCAGGATTACGTAGCTGGTGTCCAGGGCCTTCTCCTGAGCCCGGCTCAACTCCGAGTCCAGCTTCTTGAAGATGTCCCCATCACCGGCAAAGGAGGACTTGGGTGCCCTGTCCTTCTTGAGGGTCAGTGAGTGGTTGGGGAAGTCGGGCAGGGGGCCGCCCGGACAGCGGGGCGAGCCGTGCAGGTGCAGCTTGGACACGTTGGCTGGCAGGCTGTTGAAGTTGGCGGGGGGCGCCTTGGCGTGGGCTAGCTTTAGCTTCTCCTCCTCGGGCAGCGACGGCCGCTTGAGCGTGCCCGTGATTGTGGCCGTGCGGCAGGCCGCAATGTCCTTGTTCAGCACTGTGGGGACAGGCGAGGCGGTCAGGCCGGCCTCAGGGGTGCCCCGGCCAGGGCCCGATCGGCCGCACGCCCTCTGACAGCCCTGAAGCTGCGGTTCCCAGCACCTGGGCCCCTTGCAGGCCACCCTCTGCCTTGGTCAGTGGGGCCACCGTGTGGTGTGTGCCGCTGGGGCGGCCGGGTTTCCTTCGCCTCTTCTAAGAAGATTGGAACATGGGGTGCTCTTGTCTGCCCCGCGGACAAGAGGACAAATGACTACCACCCACACAGTGCGCTCCCTGGCAGCTGGGGGGCCCCTGTTGGCCCTGGAGCCAGGCCACGCTTCTGGGAAGTGCAGGGACACAGCTCCTCGTTGGGGGGGGGGCAGGGCGGCCCGGTCCTGGGGTGCCGTGTCCCGTACACCTAGCTGCCCCCCTTCCGTTCGGCTGCAGGGGGACAGGGCCGCATGACCCCTGACCCGCTCCTACCGGTCAGTCCAGCCTCACTGGCCCGTGGAGAGCACACAGCTGCCAGGCCCAGCCGCCCACCCGCGCCCCACTTAGGGCCCGTCCCTGGAAGCCTGCTGTGACTGCAGGGCCCTCTCCTTGCTGGCCGGGCGCACGGGCACCCAGCCACACCCTTGCCCAGCCCCCGAACACCAGCAGCGCGTGTTAGCTGCTTCCTGTAGCCGCCCCACGAGCACACACCCTCCCAGCAGACGGTCACTCGCCATCCCCTCCCTGGTCCTCTCCCCCCTCTCAGACAGGGCCGGGCCCCCTCTCATCTCCAGCCTCCAGGCACCGACCTCCTCCAGGCAGCCCAGCAGGGGACCTGCCATCTTACCCGCGAAACCTGCACCCTTCCAGGGTTCCCCCTACTGAGGTCTCTCGGTCCGCCTGAGTGAGCGCTAAGCCCCATGGATCCAGGGTACGCCTCCCCTGCACAAACCAGCTGCAGGTCTCCCACATAGTCAGGCCCACATCCTCTAGACCCCCAGGCCCCCAGCTGGTGTGCTCCCCTCACCCCCAGCTCGGCCCCCAGCCACTAGGTGCTTGAGAGGCCACAGGCCCGGCTGGGCCAGCTTACTGACAAGGAAGAAATTGGAGTCTCAGAGAGGCCAGGAGCACCCGAGCAGGGCTGGGCCCCAGCCTCCGAAGGCCCCCGAGTCTTGGGGCCACCTCTCAGGAAGGCTGCCTAAGACCAAGGCGGGAGGTGGAAGACCATTCTGTCCAGTCCCCCATTCAACCCAACCAGAGGCCACCTCCTCCAGGAAGCCCTCTGGGGTCCACCTGGCAGCAGCTGACACTCCCAACCTGCCGCTGTCCCAGGCCCTGCCCCCACAGCTGTCTCTAGAGAAGATGCTCCCCAAATATCTGACAGATGCAAGGCAGTGTGGCCAGCTGGTTCTCCACAGCTCCGGAAGATACTGTCACTGCCTCAGACGCCCGGCTCACAGAACAATGACCCTTGAGGGGGCTCCCTTTCATTGGGCAATTGAGTCCCTTTTTCCACTTGCTTCCAGGAAACTCAGTGCTAGCCTAGGGCTCAGTGGTAGGTCTTTCTCCCTGCTCTACCCCCGCTCCCACTGCTATCCCCCACCCCCGTTCTGAAAGCGTGACCGACTCCCCCTGCCCCCCGTGGATGGACTGGGGATGAAGACATGAAGAGAGCACAGAGCTTGGGCCCTGAGGGAGGGCAGGCAGGGGTGGGTGGCGAGGTGGGTGGCAGGGTGGAGGTGGGCAGCCTCAGTGCCCCAATGAAGAACGTGGAAAGCAAAGAACAGAAGTGTGTGTGGCTGCTGAGGCAGGGGGCCCCAGGGTCTGCTCCGGGGCTAAGAGCTCCGCCCGCATAGCGCGGGGCCTCACCCCTGCTGAGCCTGAGCGCCAGGACAGTTTTCCTCAGGCCCTGCCTGCAGCCTCAGGGCAGTCGGCGGGGGGGGGTGGGGGGGGGGGGGAGGCGCGGGGAAGGCAGGAGGTGGCTGGTGCTGGCCGGGCCCTGTGCTGACCAGGCCTCCCGGGGGAGGATCTGATCCAACCTCACCGTGCAGGCGGTGGGATGAGAACAGACAGATGGACAGACAGACGCACAGAGAAAAGAAAAGGAAGCAAGTGGGCCCAGGCGAGGGCCACCTGTCGCTCTCACCTGGCAGGCGCTCACCTGATCTACAGGCCAGATCCACGTCCTTCTCGAAGTCAGTCTGCAAGACAGAGGCGAGGCCGGGTGAGGGCCTGCGAGCTAGCAGGCAGGGCTGCCTGCGGGCTGGCGGGAAACAGCCGAGCTGGAGCTGTACCTCGAAGGGGTGTGCGTGCACACGTGCGTGCAGGCTACCGACTGCTAACGGGGGCCACGAGCTCAAGGCTGCCCGTGTGCTCGTGTGTTCACGTGGGCCCTGGTGCGGGGCCCTGCCCCTGCATGCTCTTGCCTGTGTGTGCACGCATGTGTGCGCCTGTGTACATGAGTGCACGGGGGCTCCTTCCCGGCGCTTGCGGCTTAGCTGGGAAGTGGGAGGCTGGTCCCACTGCAGCTCACTGACACTCTGGCGCCCCTGGCTCAGTTCCCCCAACCGCTGGCCCCCTGGGACTGCAGCACAAGATCCCCTCGCTCTGTCCCTCATGTCCCCCGATGGGGTGGGGGGGCACAGAGGGTCTCACACCAGAGCCCCTGCCGCCCAGGCCGCCACCTGCCAGTGTGCAGGATGTCACCTGTAGTCCTCACCACAGCCCTGGGGACGAGGAAATGGAGGCCAGCCAGCCAGAGAAGCAGAACAGGCTGCGGACACAGATGTCGGTGCCGGGGTGAGACCAGCCGTCCCTTGAGCAGTGGCGGAGGCCCCTGCTAGAGCACCTGCCCCATCCCAGCCTGGGACAGGGGCAGGCGACAGTGAGCGACCCAGGCCCCGCCCTCAGAGAGCCCGGTGGGCGGGGGCCACTGGCGGGGGTGTGGCCTTCTCCCAGGGCTGGGGAAAACCAGAGGCTCCCCCTCCGCAAACGCAGAGGTTGGCTTGAGGTCACAGGTCAGGCCAGGAGCAGTGCCTGGGGGTCTGGGACCCCTGTCCTCACCCCTGAGGACCCAAGTAGCCTCCCCAGGTCCGATGGCCGGCATCTGCTGAGGCCCTGCCTGTGATGCTCACAACCACCATGAGGAGGCTGGGCACCCCGAGGACTGAATGAGTACCCCCTGCCTACCAGGCTCACGGCATGCCAAGGGGCACCAGCGACAATGTGGAGAATTCAGCCAGGAGGCCTGATGGCAGGAGTGGGGGCGGGCGGTCAGGGAGGGCTCCCTGGAGGTGGCATCTTAGTGGACACCTGCGAGGTGGGCGGCAGGGTGGGAGGGCCGTGCCGTGCCTCAGGCTGCATGCCAGGTGTGATGCTGGGGGGCCCAAGGGGACATGGCTGGGACAAGGCCACGGCAGGGGGGAGGGTGCGTGGACAGGCCAGGGCTGGTCTCCCGGATGGAGACCAAGGGAGCCCAGTCCCACCCTGGCCAGGATGGAGGGCACCGAGGGGGGCGCGAGAGGGCAGCAGCTGAGGCGACAGCCCCCGGAGGCTGGCATCTGGGCAAGGGCGCTGTGGTAGTGGGGGTGGGGACGCGCCGATGCCAGGCCCAGCCAGACTCTCACCAGCTGGTCCTGCCTGCCCTCAGACCCTGGGCCGGGGATGTCACCTTGGTGAGCCTCAGTGTGCCCAGCCTCAGACTGGGCTCGGAGCTCTTCCCAAGGGCTGCTGGAGCCCAGAGCAGCTCTGAGCAGCATGAGGAGGCACCGCTGGGGGCACCAAGCTCTGAGCCCTACCATGAGCTGGGCATGGCCGTTCTGGAAGGAGCCCCCCGAGTCCCCGTTGCCCTCCTCCTGGCGGTCCACCACGCGACACTTCACGGCGTCCTGGACCTGGGGAGAGAGAACAGAGCGGTCCCCAGCAGCCCCAGACGGCATCCTCGTGGGATGGCGGGAAGGTAAGGGCGAGCAGCATGGGGTGGGGTCTCTGCGAGGGTGGCCTGTGTGCGGGGGCCCCGCCGCTCTTCCCTCTCGGAGATTCTCTCTGTGCCCTTCACGGGTGTGAAATTCCAAAGTCAGGGGGCTCCGGACCCCCCACGAACGTGCTGCAGCCCTCCTAGCGGGAGTCTGTCCGGATGGACCGGCCGTCAGCCTGAGGAGGGCGCCGGAGTCCATGGCAGCTGGGCAAGTGGGGGGCCCCCGCCCTCACTCCCCTGGAGACGCGCCACCCAAGCGTCCACAAGGGCCCTTGGGGGGGGACAGCACGTCTGTGGGGCACGCTCCGTCGAGGGAGGTCTCAGGCATTATGGCCACGGACTCTTCTGAAAGGAGGTGATGGTGGCTCCCTGCCAGGGGCCACCCAAGCAGCTGGCACAGAGCTTGCCCACAGGATGGACAGAGCCGATCAGTGTGAGCGAAGGGTGAAGGCTATAGCACCTTCTCCACCACCGACTGCTCTGGGCGCTGGGCGCAGCAGTGAGCACTGCCCACCCTCAAGGAGCTTCACAGTCACGATGTGCAAAGGGAATAAGGGAGGGCACAGGGGCGGCGAAAGCATGGAGGGGTTCCTGGAGGAGGCATCCTGAGTGAACGGGGGAGCTCTGGGAGGAGGGTGCGCCGGGGGTTCCTGGCTCAGACTCAGACCCAGCGCAGACCTGGGGACCTGTTCCCTGCCCCCTGCAGCCACACAGCTGATCAGAGGCAGCGCCGGGCTCAGGGCCGCTGGGCCCCCTGTGCAGGTGCGCCTTCCTCCCGTCCTTGCGCTCACTGACCTGCCTAGCAAACATCTCGAAGCACCTGCGGTGTGCCCAGCGGAGGCAGGCCGCAGTCCAGGAGATGGCAGATGCGAAAGCATTTCTCCACTGGCATGAAGAGCAGATGGTCTCCCCAAGTGCCTCACGGCCTCCTCCAGGAAGGCCACCTGGCCAGCCTCACCCCCTCTGTTCCCCCCAGGAGACTCAGATAACCACCTTACTTGTCCAGCTGCCAAATGTTCTACGCCCACCGCGCTGGCTGGAGCTCCCTGGATCACCCCTGCCCGCCCGCTCCTGGCCTGTCTTCTTCAGCATGGCCTCCTCAACCCCTCCCAATGGAGACCCTCTCCCGAATTTCCCCTGGCTGAAGGATCCCTGTAGCACAAACCCCACGTGTGGGACCCGGGAGGTCACAGAGGGCTGATGGGGAAGTCATGTGTCTTCAGGGGCGCCTGACCCTCCCCAGGCATGGGCCCACCCTCCGGATATTCCCGCGTCTGCTCCCGGGTTTTGAATTCCTACAAGCTCCTTTGTATTCTCAGATGTTCCTTCTTAATAGCCTGCTCTTCTCATTACCCGGAAGCCAGGCAGCCGAGGGCCAAGAGCAGGGCCTTAGAGCCTGGCCGGAGTGTGACATCTGGCTACCCGCCCCCGAAGCGACAGGCCTGTGCTGGCCCGGAGCTGGCCCGCGTGTGGAAGACAGGCAGCAGCTGGCCCGCAGTGAGAACCGCTAGCACAAGTAAAGGCGGCCGGGGCCAGGCACCCACGGGTGCAGGGCTGGGGAGCGGGGGTGGTCCCCCTCTCTGGAGACGCCAGCTCGGGGCTGTGCCTGGGGGCCGTGGCTGCTCGGGTCTGTGGGCTTTTCGGGCACAGGCTCTCCGGGTCCTCAGGATTTCAGACCCGATGCTCACGACCGACTGGACATTTACATACGGCGGAAGGAGGGGCTGTGGGCGGGAGCCTGTCGATGGGGCCGTCCAACCCCAGAATCGTGGGCTCTGTGTCCTGCCATCTTTCTGCTCGCCTCTCCTCCCGCCTGGGGGCCTCAGGCGACGGGTGCCCAAGAGCCAGGATGCAGCTCACGCATCCCTGTCTCAGCATGCTGTCAGCTGTGCTGGGCGCCCCCAGACCAGGGCCCCACCCGGGACAGTGGGGCTGCAGGTGGGGGAGGCTGGGTGGGGGCAGCACCGCCAGCCCAGGAGGGGGTCCAAGCCCCTCCTGAAGCAGACCACCTGCCGTCCACTGCAGACCTTCCCTGGGCATCCAGGGGGCCCGGGAGCCCCCCTTCTAGAAGCGCTCTTGCTTCAGGGTGTGAAGTAGCTGCTGCCCGGCCTCCCCCCACACCTGCTGCGGACCGGGCTCCCTCGGGTGGGCTGAGCTCATGATCCCTTGTCCTTCTCTCCCCAAAAGCCCAGGGTTTGCTGCAAAAACCCTTCTCCTGTTCTTCTCATCCCTTCGAATCTAAGTGCTTTTAAAATCACTTTGTCATCTTTCTAGGAGGTTCCGAGGGGAGGTAATTCCACGTGTCTGCCCACCCACTCCTGCCCTTCAGCCTCCGCGGCCATCCTGGCCTCGTCCAGCCTCACAGTGGCACCTCTTCCATCCGTGTCAGGAGCACATTCTTCCACATTCTGACCCCCCTGAGATGGGAGCAGGTCCCCTTAACTGTTGCTATACTGGGCAGCCGGCAGCCAGGACAGGTGGCCCTCTCTCGTTCCCTTTGGGAGAGGCCCAGAGGGCGCCAGGACAGGAGTCTCAGCTGTGCTGAAAGCTGTTACGGTTCCAGTGGCTCTCGGTCCCAAGGACCCCAGGAGGACAGAGCCCCCCTCCCGGTCCGAGCCTGGAAGAAGCGCTTTTACTAAGGAGCCACGGCTCCGGTAGCCGGGCAGCCCAGGCCGCCCCGCCTTACAGAAGTGAGGGGCCCTGAAGCCGCGCCCCCCCCACCTCCCGCTGCGGCCCAGAATCTGCCCCACCGAGGGCCTGGGGTGGGGGGCGGGGGGCGCCCGCGCGGCCCACCTCTCTGCGCAGGATGCAGTGCACCATCACTATGACGAAGCCCTCCAGCGAGTCAAAGACAGCGAACAAGATCTGGAAGAGGGCTGAGCGGCGGTCGGTGACGGCGAGCACGGCCGACATCCAGGTCAGCGCCAGCAGGGGCAGCACCACGCAGGAGCTCCAGAGTGAGGCCCTGTGGACAGCGCAGCGGGCGGCCGTGTCAGGGCTGTCCCCGGCCGCCCTCCCCACCCTGGCACCCCCCTCGCTGGGCTTCACCTCCTCCCCCTCCTCTCCCCTCCGGTCCTTAGAGCAACCCGGGCCCACCAGCCTCGCAGCCCCTTCTGGGGAGCAGAGTTCTGCTCCCCCCCGGACTGCCCAGCGGCCTGAGGGCTCCTGGCACAGTGGAGACCGGAGACTCCGAGGGTGATCCCCGGCGGCTGGGCAGCAGGCAGGGAGGGACCTCTCTGGGAGACCCAGGTTCCTAACTGTCCAGGAGGCCACAGGAGGGGAGGCACACTGGAGGCAGGAGCTGGGGGGCCACGGCCCCTGCTGGTTCCAGCTCCCAGGGCCCTCAGGCCCCCCTGCCCCCCCCACCAGGGGTCCAGGGCCCCAACTCTAAGGCGGCCATAGAGGGGGTTGTTTGGCCAGGCCTCTGAGCTCTGGAGAGAAAGAGAGAGGAGCAGAGAGCTGCTCCAGGAGCAGAGAGATGACAGACAGACAGACAGACAGGGCCAGACAGAGGAGCACGGGGAGGCAGAGACGAGGACAGAGACCCACAGGCGCTTCATCCTCTTGGCAGGCCCTGCTCGGCCGGCCCCCAGGGGAGGGGCTGCCCCCAGGAGCGCCCACGGCAGGCACTGCCCTCTGCCGCCAGGCACCTCCCTGCACCACCGTAGCCTACACCGTGGCCATTCTGGGCCTGCCTCTTCCGGACAGTGCTGTCACCGTGCCACGTCCTCGAGGCGCTGTGGTGAGGGCAGACGGTGCCCGTGGACGGCTGGCGTGCAGCAGGTGTCTGGGAAATGTGCCCGACCCCACCCTCACCACCATGACGACCTCCAGAAGCCCCCATGGGCAGGTGACTGCCGTGCAGGGGCTCCAAGGAGCCGCTGGGGCCCCTGGCATCCCCGGGGTGGGGGCCGAGGTCAGGACCACCTGCTCCCCTGCTTACAGAACGGCCTTGTCAAAAGGACGAGGAGGTGGGGCAGGGGTAGTGGGGAGTGAGCAGGGGGAGGGGCACAAGGAACACCAGGAAGGGGCCAGGGCCACCAGGAAGGAGCTGGGGGCACGGGGCCGGTGGGAGAGTGGCTGGAAGGACCTCAAACCCGGCCTGGAGAAGCACCCCCAAAGCAGCAGGACCTTGGTCAGGGGGTGGGGGCAGGAGCTCTCCCCAGAACTGCGCTCTCGGCTCCTGCGTCCTCTCTGTCCTGCATGGGCTCCGCAGTTTCACGCGGAGAAGACAGGCCCGGCTCCCCCCTCTCCCTCCCCCTCCCTCCCTCCTCCCTGCTCCAGGACCCAGGTCCCCATCCCGGCCCCAGCCCCATTTCTTCTCCAGGACGGCTCCCTGCCCAGCCGTCCGGTGGCTCGAGCCAGAGCCAGGAGTTGCCTTGAAGCCCCCACGCCTCTCCTCTCCTGGCCACTGCACAAGCTTCCAAACTAGACTTCACAGACCCGCCTCACCTCCCCCTTCCAGGGTGGAGAACCCCAGTCGGGGTCCCGGCACCCAGCCTTGCCTCTCTCCGCACCTGCTGGAGAGCCTGAAGAAGCGGGCCCTCCGTGACTACACGCACTGCCCTCCCTGACCCCGAACCCCTGCATCTCCCCATGGCGGTGGGGGGGGGGCTGCCTCGTCTCTCTCCTCCCTTCTGAAGCAGACCTTCTCTGGACACGCTGGGAACAGGAGGGCAGGGCAGAGCCTCTCCCAGGGAAGTGTCATCCTGCTGTGAGTCACCTTCCCTGGGGCCTGGGGCCTGGGGCCTGTTATCTAGGCCGGAAGTGGGGAGCAGGTGGCTGGGGCCTGGGGACGCGTGAACTACTCGAATTCCTGTAGCCCAGCCTCTGCAGGGTTCTGTGAGGGCAGAGGGCGGGGGGGAGGAGCAGGTGCAGGCCTGGGGGCACTGGGACCCCCACCCCCTGCCCTTTGGAAAGTCTGATGCCTTCCGGGGGAGGGGCAGGAGCGGAGATCGGGGGGGCAGGGCCACTGCCTCCAACCTGCCACTCGGCCTCTCAGGGAATGGCCCCCAAGGCTCTCGTGACACGCCTACCCCAGGGCAGAGCCTGGCGCGTGAAACAAACGGCGCGTACTCCCAGAGCCTGGTCCCCGTCGGCCCTCCCAACACAGCTTTCTGCCTCAACGGACCCGTCCTGCCCCGAACCCGTGGCCGCCCCGGTGCAGCAGGGCCCACACACCCACATGCACTCACACACGCACACACTCACCCCACATGCTCGCACACACTCTCACACTCACCCCCACACGCTCACGCACACCCCCACGTTCTCCCACATTCACGCATGCACACACAGAGTGCACCCAGCCCCCAGCACGACCACATGCTAATGACCGGCCCGCCGAGCACGTTCTCACGCTGACGCGGCCCGATCCCATCCCGGCAGCACTGACCCTCCGGTCCGCCTTGTCCCAAGGCCCCAGGAGATGGGGGAGAGGAGCCTGGCGAAGGGCCGGCTAGGGGAGGACCCCCAGAGAAGACAGCAGAAGCGACAGAGAGGACAGAAAAAGCTTGAAACAGAGTGTAACGGAGAGGAGAGCGGAGCCCGGCAGGTGCGCCAGCGCGGAGAGACACTGACGCGGCATCGCTGGCGGCGGCGGCCGCGGAGAGGGCTCCACACTCGGCACATTTGAGGGCGCGCCCAGGGGGGGCCCAGGGCAGCTGACTGGAAGTGAAATTCAAAGCCTGAGACAAGAGCAAACACTGTTCTCGCAGACGGGGGCAGAGTGCGTACCAACCGCAGCAATCCGGCCTGAGCCTCCCTAGGCCGGCCCTGGGGGGCGGGGGGCTCCCCGGGGGAAGCAGGGGAGCCACGGGAGGTGGGGGCGGTCCGGGTCCGGCACCCGTGCATGCCCGCGCGGAGCAGAGGGGAAGCCGATCTGCCCATGTTTGCACAGAGAAGCAGAACTCCCAGGGGAGGCCACGGCCACCTCCCTCTGGTCCCCCTGAAGCTGCCCTGACCATGCACTGCCCCAGCCAGGGGGCAAGGGCTCCGTCCACCAGTGCACTGGGGTTCGGGGAGCTAGCTGGGCAGCGTCCTCCCACGGGCCCTGTGCGTGTGTGTGCTCGCGAGCAAGCGCACAGCAGTGTGCACGGTGCCTCCTGTCCATGTGGGAGCGGGTCTCTGTGCACGGCCCCGCGGGCGCCCCCAGGAGCGTTCTGAGCCGGGGCACCCAGTGCACGCCCAGGACGGGGCCCTAGGAGGCGGCCAGCCACACGGACACGCTGGACTCCAGAGCCTTGCCCGCCACCAGCCGCTCACCCTGCCTGAATCTCAGTCCACTGGGCTGTACAAACAGGAACGGAACAGGAGAGCCGGCCTCGGGGGTTATTGTAGGAAGCAAACCAAACGGCCTGGCGCGCAGCCCGGGGCCTTCCAGGAACGCATGTGGGCACGTCAGTCCCCACTGCCAGGGGACGGCGCCCAGCGAGTGGGGCACCCAGGCCTACAGACGGCGAGGCCAGCCTCCGGATCACACACCTCCTCCAAAGCCGTGCAGCAGGCTTCTGACCCTGACCAGAAGCCATCAGGGACCTCCGGGGGATGGTGTCCTGAAGCTACAGGGTAAGCAGGAGGTGCAGGAAGAGGAGAGAGACAGAGACAGAGACAGACACCGAGGAGGGCACAGAGGGAGCAGGGCGGGACCCCCCCCCACACACACCAGCCAAGGCAGAGGGACGAACAGAGCAGCAGGCAGAGGGGAGGTGAGGGGGGCTCAGAGGGCTGGGGCAGGACGGAGAGAGGGGCCTGTCTCAGCCTGGACTTGGCCCCTCCGTGATCTCAGTGTTCCCAAGCCCCGGGGGCTGCAGGAGCAGGCCTGTTCCAAGCACCCTGGGCCTTCACTGCTGGGCACCGCCCAGTCGCTTGGGACCACATGCCCTCTGGCCACACCCTGCCCTCTCTGGGCTCAGCCTGCCCACACAGGAGGAACACCCTATTTGTCCCCTGTCCTCTCCTGTCACTGAAGGCACCATAAGGATGAGCAAGTTACATCCTCGCTTGGGGTCACCCGACCCCACGGTAGGGAAGGGGGAGGCCAGGGGCTCCCGCCCACCACCCCAGTGGTCCCTGCAGGGGCAGGGTCTCTGAAAACAACTGGCTTCACAGTTTCTGAGGACCTGCCACAGGCCAGACGGAGAAACTGAGGCACAGGGCAAGGCCGGGGCTGGTTGTCAGCCTACACAGACCTCTGTGCTCTGGTTTCCCTGCCTGCTCTGGGGCCTGGCAGGGAGTGAGTGGGCTCTGGGTCTTTTCGACTCAAGGCAGGTGAGGAGCCCTGGCGGGCCCCGCCCTACCCTGCCCGCTCCTTCAGCTTCTTGTCCGTGATGCCATCCTTGGACACAAGCTTGTTGAACACCAGGATCCCGATGACCATGTTCACCTGCCAGGCAGAGAGGAGCCAAGTGTGGGGGTGGGGTACTGCCCTCCGGGCTCCGGGCTCCACACCAGGGCTCGGCGTGTGCTCCCACCCGCAGCACTGGCGCTGGGGACACTACTCCCTGGGCCAGGAGGTGGGGCCACCGGCATAGGCTCACCAGGCCTCCAGCACCTTCTCCTGGGCCTGGCCAGCTCCCCCCAGAGCCCTGGCTGTTGGTTGGGGTTCTTCTGCCACAAGACCCCACTCAGGGCGAGGAGCTCCAGCTCACGCCCCCCATGTGACCCTCCTGCGTGACCCGCTCCACGAGGATCTGGAAGCCCTGCCCGGTGGGGGTGGACCTGAGAAGGGGCCAGCATGACCCAGCAGGGGTGCAGGAGTGATGTGGGGGGCCCTCCCAACCGGCTGGATCCCCGGGGTGGTCTGCCCTGAATGGCCCAGAGGCCTATCTGCCATCCCCATGGTGTTCAGCAGCAGTTTGTGGAGCTGGGGTTCCTGCTGTCCAGGGGTCAGAGGTCAGGCTGGCTCCAGCGCACTCCCAGGGTGCCTGCCTGCTCCGACCACAGAAGGGACCTCAGATGACCCAGCTGCCACACCGCTTAGGTGTGCCCTGTGGCCGGCCCCCAGCCTCTCAGCACCCCTGCTCCCTACAACCCTCCCGTGACAGGGAGCTCACCCCTCACTGGGGCCCACCTTGAGGGCCGTCTTGGGGGCATCATCCCCGTCCGGGCTCTACCTGGGGGCACACTGCTCCTGTGCTCTCTGCCAAGGCACCTTTCCTGACCCCTTCCCGCTGGGCGCCAGCACCCTAGCAAGTGCTCCTTGGTGTTCGCGTCCCGCACGCTGCCTACAGCAAACAGCAGCTGTCCCCAAGGGGCCCCTGTCGGCCTTGCCTCGGCCCTGGAGACCTTGGGGTTTCCCCTCTTTGGCCTTCTCTCCTGGTGGGGAGGCTCCCAGCTCATTCCTTTGCCCCCCGAAAGCCGTCCCCTGGGCTCCCACTCTGCAGAGGCTGCCTGACTGAGGAACGAGGCCTGGCCCCAGGCCCCTCAGATGCAGAGGTACAAGAAGGCTGACTCTCTGTGGCCCCACGGCTCTGAGCGCCCCTGACTCCGCACATCACTGTCGTCAGGCCCTGCCTTTCATCCCTGTGCGAACGGAAACTTCCCAGATGCCGGCACCAGCACTGGAGTGCCTGACTGGGGTGGAGGCGTCTTTCCTGGGTGACCTCATGTTCTGACAAGGCCAGGGCCAGAGGCGGACAGGCCAGCAGCCATCAACGCCCTGCCCGAAGCAGGCTCTGTGCAGCTTGACCGGCATGTCCCCATGTTACCGAGGGGGCCCTGGGCTGGGGGCCACAGCAGATCGGCACTGGCCCTGCCCTGCAGACGCCCCGGGAAGGGACATGGGGGCTGGGGGTTCCTGCTTCCATCATCTGAGCCTCCCGTGCTCCCGAGTCTCCTGTCTTTAAAATGGCGAGCTGGCCTGGTCTCTGAAGGGCCGCATTGACATGCACGGCACGAAGGCCTCTCCCTTCAAGGAATAAAGGAGCCAGGACCCTCGGGCTAGGCCTGCTGCCCACCGCTCCATCCTCCCACGCGGGGCCCTCGGGCCTCCCCATGCCTGTGCCTGTGCCCGGGCGCCCCCGCCACAGAGCCACGGAGCGGTGCGTGGCCCTGCGTGAGGGCCAGAGCGCTGGAGAGCAATGGGCTCAGGCAGGGCGGGCGCAGGCCCCCAGACGTGCCCAGCTCCCTCTGCCCAACCCGAACTCGGGGGCAAGAACCCCGTGAGCCCCAAGGCCCTGTTTCGCATCCCTCCCCGTAGGCGTCTGGGAATTCGTGGCGAGGGAGAGCAGGTAGCTGCTTCCTTCTCCAGAGCGTGACACCTGGTGGCAGCAAGGTCTGGCCCCGGCCCCCCAGCCTCAGGCTCTGCCCATCCCCCAGGCCGAGCTGGCACTCCCTGCTGCCCTGGTCAGCCATCTGTCCACTCGGCCCCCCCTCAGCCGGCCACTCACCCTGCAAACCCACATGGATCTCCTGGCAGGTGCACAGCCAGTGCCCGGTCCCCACGCGAGTGGTGCTCACGGAAAGAGAAGGCCCCCACTGCAGCCCAGTCTCCGCACCCTTGTACCCTGAGGGCAGGTCAGGGGGGGGGCCAGGAACGCCATCCACCCCTCGGTGACCACGGTGACCCTGAAGGGGCAATGGGTCCAGTCCAAGGCCCCAGCCCGGGCCAAGGGGAAGGGGTCAGTACCAGCACAACAGCGGCGGCCGGTCCCACGAAGGCGTACAACAGTCCCCCCTCCAGGGAGAGCCAGCAGCTGGGGAGGGAGACAGGCTGGTCAGTGGCCAGGCGTGATGCCCCCACCCCCCTGGGAAGGCAGGTGAGCTGCTGGGGAGTGGCAGAAGGAGCTCAGCACCCAGCAGGCCCTCCTGCACACAGCACACTGCACTCACTCTGGCCCCCGTGGCCCCACGAACCCCAGTTTACGGAAGGAGAAACAGGCACGGGGCAGGCTGCTCGCACCCACACAGCAGAAAGGAGGGTGTCCTGACCGCCCCAGGCTGGTCCCCCAACTCTCCTCCTACACCCTCCCCAATCTCATGCACAGACCCTTCCTCAGGACATGATGCCAAAACTCTGGGTTGGGTCCCTGGTCTGGCCCTCCACCTGCCCACTCAACCCAGGCCCCATGGCCGGGTCACCCAGGCCTCTGCTCACACGTCTGGCCGGGCCCCTCCTCACGCCACACGTGGTCACCGGCCCCACACTTCCCCAAATCTCCTGGACCCCACGGATGGTGGCTGCAGGAGCCCTGGGCCCAGCAAAGACACTGCAGTCTTCACGTGCCGTTTCCTCTGCCCTGAGCGACCCCCACAACGCTGTCAGATGAACTCCTCTTCAGCCTTCAAAACCCCTGGCGTTCCCCTGACCCACCCCTGACCCTCTCAGCTCTGCAGCCGTGTCCATAGTTACCTCCTGGCATTCACCCTACAGGGGTTCCAGTAACTGGATCCTCATTCATGTCTGCTGCCCCTGCTGCCCAAGTGGGGCATTGCTCCAGGGCCCAGCAATGGCCTGTCCCCCTGGGGCTCCAAGGTGAGCCAAGCCTGTGCAACCTGCATCCACCCCTCCTCCTGCCTCTGCCTCCCCCATTCCTCTCCACGCCTGTAGCCACAGCCCCCCTCCAGCCCGTGGTTCCTCTCCCCTTACTCTGGGGAGCCACACTGCTTTCAGGGTAACCCCGAGCTTCCTGGCTTGGTATTCAAGGCCCCTGGACCTGCCTGGCCCAGCTGACCCTTCAGGGCCTCGCTGACTTCATCTGTGAAATAGGCGCCTTGCCCTCCTCGGGGCCACACCCCCCCCGTCACCATAGTTGTGCAGGGGTGGACACACTGGTGCAGAGGGGAAACTGAGGCTAACAGACCCGTCCAAGGATACCTAAGGAGGAGGTGGGAAGCTCTGATGGCCCTGAGCCCCCAGCCTCCAGTCCCGGGGCCCCCAGCCTCTCCCAGCCTTGGCTCTCCTCTGTGAGATGGGCACCAGCCAGCTGTCACCTTCTAGGCAGTGGGAGGGTCTGGGGGAGCCGAGCGGCCTCCACCCCATCCCCACCCTGCCCCGACTCACTAGTTCATGGTGCTGTACCCTTTGGCCTTGGTGAATCCCACAGAAATGGCCACGACCAGCGCAGGAAGCCCTGCGGAAGGACCAGAAAGAGGGAGTTGGTTCCCCCACCATCCAAGCCCCTGTCCGCCCTCTGCCTCCTCCCAGCCCTGCGGATGGGGCGAGGTCGGGGCACACTGTGCCTCTGAAGCCCCGGAACAGGGTCCCGCTGAGCATGAGAGAGAGGGAACAGGAGAGCCTACGGCACTGCGGGCATGGCGGCCAGGTTAGCAAACGCAACGCAGGACGCCGGACCACACTTGAATTTCAGATAAAAAAGAAACCCTTTTTATTGTGTGTCCGAACGGGGTATCCTTAAAAAATAACCCATTATCTGAAATTCAAATAGAACTTAGCATCACATTTTACCTGACAACCCCGTGGAGGCCCCAGGAGGATGAGGGCAAGGCAGGGGGTGGGGGAACGGGGCCACAAGGGGCGGGGACAGAGGGAAGGGGCCGGGGGTGGGGGAATGGAGCCGCAAGGGGCGGGGACAGCGGGCAGGGGCCTGGGAGGGGGTGATGGGGCCGCAAGGGGCGGGGACAGAGGTCAGGGGCTGGGGGTGGGGGACGGGGCCGCAAGGGGCGGGGACAGAGGTCAGAGGCGGGGGGCCCACCACCCCCGGACCGGCACCGCTCACCCCAGCCCAGGCAGAGGAAGCGTTTGCGGATGAGGCGGCTCCTGAGTCGGCCTGTCACGGCCATGTAGGACTGCCAGGCCTCGGTGAGCACCCAGCAGAAGGACGACAGGAAGGAGAAGTGCAGGAAGGCAGCCACGAGCGTGCACACCACCTGGGCGGGGCAGGCAGGCGGGTTAGCGGGGCAAGTGCCTGGTCCCCCGGCCCTAGGCCTGCTCCACGGGAGGGGCTCGGTCCCAAGCCCAGTGTCCGCAGTGGTGACGAGCTCAGACCCCCCAGCAGGAAGCCACTGAAGGGTCACCTGGTCCACTGCCTCGAGGTGGCCTGTTGTACATCCGGGGTCCCCGACCCCTGGGGGGGTGTGCCACCTGGTCCACGGACGGCCAGGGAGAGAGACCCCCAGCCCCCTCGTCCTCACCCACCTGGAGACACAGCACATGCCAGCAGGAGCCCGCTCAAAGGCTCTGGTGTGAGCCCATCTGCCCTGGAGGTGGTGAACTCGATCCCCAGGGAGGGCGAGTCACCCCCAGGGCCACATGACAACACACAGACAAGATGACAGTCCAGGCCCCACGGTGGGCCAGGGCCAGGGGGCTCGAACCGGCCCATCTCAAAGTGCCAGTCCAGCTGGACCCTCCAGACACCCTGTCCCCATGCCCTGACCAGGGGACAGCCGCAGTCAGAGAACGAAGGCCTCCGTGTGGCTGGAGCACTCTTCTTCCTAAGCTTCCTTGGAATCCTTTTGGGGTCCTCACCATCACCCCATCCCACCTGGGCACACTGGGATGTGCAGGGAAGGGCAGAGATCACATACCTTATTGCGAGTCTGGGTCTGCCCGATGAGGATGAGGGCATTGGAGGAGATGATGGACAAGCAAAAGTTGATGAGGATGACAGACCGCTCCGAGCGGATGTACCTATGGGAGAGAGCGGGCTCAGTGCCCAACGGGGCCTCATCTCCGCGGGAACAGGGGTCCTGTGGCCATAGCAAGGCTAGAGCACTACCTCCCCCCTGAGGACATTGCTGCTATTGCCACTGTCACCTCCACCATCACCTCCACCACCATCACCACCGTCACCACCACCACTGCCATCACCTCCACCATCACCTCCACCACTATCACCACCACCACCATCACCACCTCCACCACCATCACCACCACCATCACCTCTACCATCACCACCATCATCACCACCACCATCACCTCTACCATCACCACCACCACCACCACCGCCGTCATCTCCACCACCGTCACCACCATCACCTCCACCATCATCACCATCACCACAATCACCATCACCTCTACCACCATCACCACCACCACCACCATCACCTCCACCACCATCACCACTACCACCACCTCCACCACTGTCACCTCCACCAGCACCACCATCACCTCTACCACCACCACCACCACCATCACCTCCACCACCATCACCACCACCGTCACCACCATCACCTCCACCACCATCACCACCACCACCACCATCACCATGGACACCACCGTCACCACCACCATCACCACGGACACCACCATCACCATCACCTCCACCACTGTCACCACCACCACCACCACCATCACCATGGCCACCACCATCACCATCACCATGGACACCACCATCACCATCACCTCCACCACTGTCACCACCATCACCACCAACACCATCACCTCCACCACCATCACCACCACCACCACCATCATCACCATCACCTCTACCACCACCATCACCACCACCACCACTTGCACTCTACCACATATTAAATTCTAGCACACTGTCAGGTGCCAGGGAGGGCCATGGGGAACCAGTAAGCACAGCTACCTGTTCTTACTAGGGGTGGCTTATCCTGAGAATTGCTTCTCCTTTTTGTGCAAGATCCTCTCCCTGTCTTTGGATCCCTTGGACACAGCTCGTTTCCAGGGTCTCAGTCTCTGCCTCCTCCTGGCTTTCACCCTGGCTGTCCCCCTGACCCCCAGCCCTTCCCACCCTGTCTGATCCTGACTTCAAGGCAGGAGGACAGAGTGGTTCTAAGGGTGGGCCGCTGTGTAACATTGGGCAAGTGGCCCAGCTCCTCTGTGCCTCAGTCTTCACATCTGTGGGATGGGTGGAGGAATAGCACCCGCTGCTCGGGGCGTGCCTGAGAGTAAATGGGCAGGAGGCAGGAAGTGTTAGCCACCATTGCTAAGCGTTGCCCCCGTTTCCCAGTGCAGCATCCCAGTGGCCTTGGGGGCTGAGATCCCGGCAGGTGGTGAGCAGAGGCGACAGGGCTGCACCTCAGGGGCCATGATGTGACCTTGGGCGGGTCACTTTCCTTGTGTGGGTCTCCATCTCCTCATGGGGACCATCGGGATGGGGCCCTGTCTGTGGCTCACAGGGGCAGTGACTTGGCCAGCAGAGCGCAGGAAGGAGGCGCTTTGAAAACCATCAGCAAACCCCTCAGAACCACAGCAGGCAGGGCTGGAGGGGCTGTCCCAAGCCCCCTGTCCCAGAGGTCTCCAGAAACAGAGGCCTCCGGGGAGGGGGGGCTGGGCCAGTGAGGGGTTGGGACAGATGGTCTGAGGAGGGGCTGGGTCGGAGGGCCACTGGGTGCCAGCTGGATGCGGGTGGTTTGGCGGTTCGGGGTTGGCTTCTGCCCTCAGGCAGGATGAGGAGGGGGCACAGGCAAACACAAGCCACCCGCCCCCCACATCGATCTCTCCTTGTTGGCCTCGGGGTGTGACATCAGTTCTGCTGCCCATGTTGCTGCAGGGTGGGTGACCTTGACTCACGCTCCCTGTCCTAAACCTCTGCTCAGTGGGGCTCAAAGCAGGGCTCTGGGGGCAGGGAAGTGAGACCCGCCCTGCAGGCACACACTCGCCCTCACACACCCCTCGCACACCCAAGCTCAGGCCTGTGCATACGTGTTCCTCGCCCCAGAGCTGGGGACCACTGGGGGCTGCTGACTTGCCCAGCCCTGCCTGGGGAGGCAGTCCCGGGGTCCTGGCATGAGGCCCTGTGGCCCGGGGGAGGGGAGTGAGGGGCAGGGATGCGAGCAGAGGTTCTTGCCCTGAGACGTGACCCTGGGCTCAGAGAGGGCTGTGGCCTTGCACGCCCATGTGGCAGGACACAGAATTTGGGGGCTCTGAGGCCCCAGGGCAGGATGCTGGGCCTGCCAGCATCGGACAGGGAGTGCATTCGGAGGGCAGGAGAAAGCGTGGCCACCTTCTGTGGGCAGGAGTGGAGGCCAGGAGCACAAGGGCGACCGGCCCACCCCTGGCCTGCACCTGTGCCCCAGCCCGTCATTGTCATTCAGCTTCCAGGGAGGGGGACAGAGGGGAGGGGGTGGTGGCAGAGTGCGGTCCGTCTGTGATGGCGGTGGGCAGGGCAAGATGGGGGGGATGGCGCTGCTGACGGGGAAGGGGGTTCTGGACCAGCCCACCCCCATGGCCGCCCTCAAAGGAGAAGGGACAAGACTTGACCCCGGCCACCCCGTTCCTGGGATCCACCGGGGGGCCAGCCCCCCATCCCGGCCCAGCCCATGCGCTCAGGCACCACCTCCACACGGAGACGTAGATGATGATCAGCATGAGCAGGGTGAGGGACGACACGCCACAGCCCACGATGAGCGTCACCGACGGCACGATCACCTTCTCCATGTTCTGAGGATTCCAGAGCAGAGAGAAAGCGGAGTGAGGGGGCCAGGCACATGCAGACTGAGGCTGGGGGTGGGGGTGGATGCCGGAATGGAACCTTCCCTCTCCACTGCCGGCAACCCCCCACGCGCCCCCCCCACATGCCCCCCCCCCCGTGCCGCTGGGCGGGGGGCCCCTGCGAGGGGCTTCTGGTCTCTGTGCACACCCCCACCCCCGTCACTGGTATAATCGTAGCCACCTGCCAAGTCTAGTGATGGAGGCTTTGTCCGCACTTCACGGAACCCCCCAACTCCAGAGGGGGACCATCTTCCCGTGTCACAGACAGGTCACGGGGGGGGGGGGGCCTGCCCCGCCCCACGACAGGCACAGCTCTCCCAGGCTGCCTGCGTGCTTCTGGAATACCAGCTGAGAGCAGGCCACAGGGCTTCCCGGAAGGGCCCCTCCGTGGCAGCTGCATCGGTCCAGCCTCCACTGCCTCAGAGCCGGTTCCCAGCCCAGCACCTGCTGCCCCACAGCCCCCCCAAGCACCCCTGTTCTCCACTCTTCCCTCACCCTCCCTTCTGCTCTGCCAAATCCCTGCACTGCACCCCCGCTCCCCACCCGCGCCCGGCCCCCACGGCTCTTCTCCAGGCTGCGGCTGGAGAATTTTGTAAAATGCCGTTAGACATAGCACCCCTGCTCTGCTCAGAGTACCCCCTGCCCGTCCACCCCCTCCCCAACCGGCTGAATGCTCCGAAGGCCACTGGGCCTGGCCTGCCCCCCATCACTGGCTGCCTCCTCGTTCCCACCGTTGCAGAGCCGTGGCAGCGAGTGGTCCCTCTACCCAGAACACCCTTCCCAGCTGTCATGTGCTGGTGCCTCTCGGGGGGGTGGGGGGTGCCTTGGGCTGGATGATGGGCCCGGCTGCTCCCCACCACGGAGGCCTGAGCATCCGGCCGGTCCCCACTTACGCGTGCTTCCATGTGCTCAGCCCCGTGTCACAGCCTGACCCACACGGTCCACGCCGAGGGCCGCCGCACGGTGGGCAGGGCACGTGGGCACACGGACGCACGGCAGGTGGACAGCCACACGCAGTGAGGAGGGAGTGAGGCTCCTCTGTGTGAGGACGCCAAGGAGGCTCGGAGGGACTGACGACGGTCTCTGCAGCCCCTCCCCAGCCCACGGCCTCTGTGCTTGAGGGAGGAGGAGGCGTGCTGGGGGCACGGGACCTCCTAGGGGGTCCCCCACCCTAAATGGGACACTCCTGTGCCTGCGCTAAGTCTGACTCGGCTAAAGCCCTTCAGAGCAGCTCTCCGAGCCCTGCTGACCCCGCAGGCTGCCCAGGGAGACTCTTCCACCTCACTGGCTCCGGGAGGCCTGGCCCAGCATTCCCGCCCCGAGGTGGCGCCTTCCACTTCCCTCAGGCCCCTAGAGTTGGAGCCTGAACCCGGTCCACCTGGCGCTGCTGCCCCCACCCACTGACAGCGCGGTGCGCAAACCATGCTGTGCCCTCTGCCCACGTGCATGCTGTTCCCGTGGCCCAGACTGCCCTTCCCCTCCGGCCCCCCAGGTCCTTCTGGGTGTTGCTGGGTTCCAGCCCGGGTCCCCCTGCTGGGGGTGACTGCCTGTCCCTGCAGCCCGGCATCCTCACGTTCCTGAGCCCCCTCGGCCCGGGCCCGGGCCCGGCTCAGACTCAGTCTGAGTGGCTGGTAGACGAATGGAGACAGGGAAGGCAGGCTCCAGGAAAAGGGAGAAAGTCAGCCAAGGTCAGCCAAGCAGTCAGCCGGCCCTGGAGGCACGGCCCAGGGTGAGGGTCCAACACAAACTTGGGCTTCCATGCAGGGAGCTGGAGGACCCAGGGAAGCGGGGGCTCTGGGCCGCCGCGCGCACCCTTGAACTCGCCAGGTAACCTCGAAGCCTGGCTGGCCACGCGAGTCACGGGTGGTGGAGCAAGTGGCTCGCACCCGGTCCGTGGCTGGCTCTGGCCCTGACCTCTGTGGCCATCTGCCTCCATCTGCCCTCATTAGGCCTGACAGCCACACGCCTGCCCACTCTCTCCTCCTCTCCACCTGGCTCATCCGTCACTCCTGACAGCCCCGGTCCCGCAGGTTCTAGATGATGTGGGGAAGGCAGGGGAGACAGAATGAGTGGGCAGGGGTGCCAAAGAACTCTGGCTCTTGTTGGGAGGGTTGGAGTGGAGACCTCCAGGGCAAGAGACTGGCCCCAACCCACACACAGAGAGAGGGCAGAAGCCAGCCAGCCTCCCGCCGGAGACTGGTTCCCTAGCCAAGTTCGGTGCCACCCCACGGCCTTTGCACATGCTGCTCTCACTGCCCGGTGCTCTTCCTCTGACCTTCACATGGCTGGCTCTGCCTTCAGCTTAGATGTCACCCCCTCACAGAGGCCCTCACTGAACGTTCAATCTGAACCAGCCCCACGTCTCTGCCCATCACCTTGTCTGGAGACTCACCAGGGTACTTGGCCCCCCACGCACCCAGGGATTCTCTCTTATTGTCCATATGGTTACCGTTGGTTTCTACCCCATAAACTCCCTGCTTTCCGCCTTCTCTTAAACTCCCTGCACATCTGATGTGCCCTGAACACGGATCTCCCTTCTCCAGCACCAGCCTTGCCGTGCTCTTCCTGCACCACCCATGGCTCACAGCTCCCACACAGAGCAGCCCCGCGTCCCAGTCACACACCGAGCCCCAACCCCGGCGAGGCCGGGGACGCACTCTCAGGCACATCCCGGCCACACTGTGCCACAGCGGCAGCCGTGGGCACAGGCGCCACCACCCGCCGGGCTGCGAACCCCTCACTGAGTTCAGTCCCACCGCAGCTCGGAGGCAGACAGCGTCGCCCCCTCACCGATGTGACTCAGAGCCGTTACTCAACCTCCCAGCGGGCAGGGGCTCCAGGCGCGGCTCGGGCAGCAGCCGGGGGGGCCGCCTGGGTCCATGCCCCTGCCTGGGATCCCAGCCCTCCCTGGCTCCTGGCGTGTGACCCCAGCACCCCAACTCCACCATTAACCCTTGGCCCTGGCTCTGGACTCCAGTCCCAGGATTCCCATCTTCTCCGCTTGCTCAGACCCGAATCCCCGTGCCCGTCCAACCCCAGCCGGGAAGAGGCAGGTGGCACCCTGTCTTGCCCTAGGCCCAGCCCACCTCTGCCACTACGCCACCTGCCGGCCGGAGTACTCTGCCTTCGCTCCTGCTGGGATCCCTCCAAGACCCCAATCCCACTACCATCCTCTGTCATCCTCTGCCAGCCACCCCGCTCCCCACTGCCTTCGGGATGCAGCTCCAGCTCTCCCCCACACTGGCCTTGCACCCCTGCCCTGGCCTCTGAGCCCCACCTTGTCTCCCACTTCTTTTTGCCTTCCTCACCTTCCCCGGCATGACCACCACTCCTCTCCACTAAGCGCAGCTGGTGAACTCCTGCTCACCCTTCAGGGCCCCACTCTATACCTCCTCCTCATGCTCCCCTCCCAAACCACCCCCGGGGAGGGAAGCAAGCTGTTGCTGTGCCCCCAGAGCATCTGTCCCTTCAGCCTGGGCTGCCACAGGCCTGTCAGGATGCAGACCCCGTGCTCCTCCTGGGCAGGACTGGGGTCTGGCACAGGCCCCGGCCCCAGCCCCTCACAGGCCGCACGACAGTGATCTCACCTTCGTGCTCGGCCCCCGCCCCCCCAACTCAGTGTCTCTGCCGTCAGCCCCAGAGCTGTCCAGGAAAGGAGAGGGAGGTGCTAGAGGGCTTTGATGGCAGGCTGGCAGGCCCGCACCAGGTGGGAGGCAGAGCCCACCCTGGTCCTTCTGGCACTCTGGCTCTGAGCTCATGCCCATGCCCGTGGAGGGGTCACGGAATTAGGCAGAGCCAACTACTATGCCATCTTACAGATGAGGAGACCGAGGTTCCCAGCGGCCAGGCAGCCCGCCCTCCGTCCCAAGGCCACTGGGGGACTGGCCACCGTGAGTTGCTGTGCCTTCAGCCTCAGCTCCCCTTCTGGGATATGGGGATGGGGTCCCACCTCTATGTACGCTGACACAGTAGGTCAGGATGGCACCAGAAGCCCCCCCAACTACAGCTGCCGACCCCCTACCAAACAAAACCTCAAACCCCTCACAGACTGAGACCTGCCCACCCTGGCAGAGCGGCCTCCGAATGCTCAGCCCTGGCGGCACCCAGTGCAGGCCAGTCTTCTGGGAGAGGTCCTGGGCGCCAAGTCTTCAGGCCCTGGTTTCACCAGCATCAGCCTCCTGCCCCTCACCAAACCCGGCCTCCGTGCCCGAGCCAACCTGGAGCTCCGCCCCCAACCGGGACGCCACCTTCTGCAGAAGGCACTGCCTGGGCATGCAGTAGGCCCTCCACGCTGCAGACCCTGGCCCAGCAGGACCCCCCCATCAACTGGTCTGCCCCTCAGAGCCACCCTGAGTAACACACGATCACTTCGGTTTGATGGGAGAGAAAGCTTCAGAGAAACAGAGTACCAGACTAGAGTCACCGTGTGTGAGGGACAAGCCTGCGTGTCAACACTCGGCCACACTAACCCTGGTCACACATCCCACTCCAGAACACTCCCCTGCCCCCGGTCCTTCCTCCTTACACTCGAAGCATGGGCAGCCACCTGGGGACCCAAGGCTGGGCCATGCTCTGCTGGCTCTGGCCTCGCGGGGACTCAGGAAGCCCCCTGCCCCATTGGTTGCTCCCCCGTGCAGAAGAAGCCTGCTGCTTTAGCACTGATGACCGCCTATGCAGAAAGCCACCTCTTCCAGGGAGCCCCCAGGATGGCCCTGGCTGCAGCCTTCAGGGCCCTCCCCCAGAACCAACAACACCAACAGCCCTGTCACAGGGACAGTAGAGTGAGGAAGAGTGCACCGAAGTCAGGGCCAAGAGCACAGACCCCAGTCCGGCGACTTGCCCCAAGACCTGGAGCAAGTCACCCTCCCCAGGGCTCAGTTTCCCTGCCTGTCAATGGAAGGTTTTAGTGGCAATGACCTCTAAGGTCGCGTTTGGCTCTCCCCCCGTGGGGGACCCTGGCTGACAACAGTGCCCTCCCTACCCATGTCCCACTGGACAAAGGGGTGGTGGGCAGAACATTCTCAGAAAGGCCTCGAGCCATCTTTCACATCAAACCCAGGGCTCCCTGAAGGGAGAGCTGTGCTGTCCCCACTGGATGGGGACCAGCTGCCCCAAACGCCCAGGAAAGCCACGTCCCCCTCCCCAGTCTGTCCTCCACATCTGCTGCTCTATGATCCTTCCACACTGGGCCTGGACCCGGGGTCTCAGTGAGGGAAGACCCCAGCCCCTTTCCCTCCTCGGGGGGCTCAGTGGCTGGGGAGGGGGGGAGCTTCCCGGGACCCGTGAATGGAGCTCAGCCCTGGACGAGATAGCCCATCAGCCCCAGTGGGCCCAGGGCAGCACCCAGGGCCCCAGCCCAGGAGCTGGCCCCAGACGCCATCGCCATAGAAACCAGCAGCCCCCACCAGAATCACGGAAGAAAAAGGAGGTCCCTGAGATGATGGGGCCTTCCCCAGCAGAGCTGTGGACCTGGGCCAGATCCAGCACCCTCAGCCACCCCAGGACCCCGACCTGGGGGAACTTGGGGAGGGTGGGGAAGGTCTCCCAGCAAGGTGGCAGCCCAGGGCCCTGTCCCCCAGCTGAGGGCAGCAGCGACTAAGTGAGGGGGTATGCCTGCTCTGCCAGGCCAAGCCCTCCCCCAGTCCTCAAAAGCCTGGGCCCAGCCTGCCTGGCTCCCCTGAGGATCTGTTCCCTCCAAGGTCCCAAGCCCCCAAGGAGAGTGGGGGAGACTCACCCATCGGTCCCTGGGGGGCGGGTGTGCCCAGCCCCTCCGGGGCCAGTCCCCAACTCCACACTGCCACCCGTCCAGCTCCCACCCACCCTCTCCAGAGGCCGGCCGGCCGCCAGGCCACGGGGGGGGGGGGGGGCGGCGGCCGGCGCACAGACCCGGGCAGGGGTGGGTTCGGCCCCTCCCGCACCCGTCCTGCGCCGGAAGCGCCCGCCCCGCGCCCTCCCCCCGCGCCCTCCCCCCGCGCCCCCCGCGCCCCGTCGCCCCCGCGTGTCCCGGCCGGGGTCTCACCGCGTCGGCGCTGAGCTGGGCTAAGATGGCGAAGGTGGAGAGCCGGTCACAGAGGCAGCGCGTCCGGAGGGCGTCGAGGGGCACCGTGCGGCAGCCGCGCCACGACCAGGGCCCGAGCTGCGGGGGGGCGGGGGAGGAGGGCCTGGGGGG